GGAGTTGAGCAATAACTGTCTTCAAGTGTTTAGTAGATAAATGCTATACTGTAATCAAAAATGGAAAAGAGTGCATTAAAATGTGTTTGAATTTGGAGCAACATCCAGTCAAAGGAAGCACAGCTGGAGCAAGAGTTGGTTTCCTTCAAGGAAATGACAACAGAAGGGACAGATTCAACCTCCCCCATCGCCCATAAATAGAGATCCAGCCCATCAGCAACGTTCCCATTTAACCTCTCTGAAGAGTATAACTATGGGTTGTCCAGTCTTAATAAAAGATTGTTTAAAAATCCATTCTCAAGTCGTTAACTGGAAATAATAGGTCCATCTTGCACAACTAAGGATTTCCCAACCTTTTCTGACCCATCATCCTGTGTTATCATAAACATTGGCACTAGTATATCGAGTTTATTGAGATAAGAGTATGATTTTTTTATTTTTAGAAGATATAGTTGACTGTGAAAGGACTACAGAACTGTATATATTATATACTAAGTGTGGGGGAAACTTCTTCTGAAGCAATTGGAGTCAGGACTCAGAGAGACACGAGGAGAGCTGGAGCTTTGATGGCAAACACGGACGGTTTATTTGGAGCTTCGGCCGGAGAATTCACAAGACATGTCATGGTGCCACAATCGATTCTGAAGAACCCTTCTGTCGCTCGAGGTTTTAACTAGTTCAGAGTGGAATAATCAACATTCTTCATCAGCGAGACTACACAAATATGGACCCTGAATCTAACTGCTGTCGTCCATAGAAAATAATGTGCACCAGGGAACCTACGTCCCTAAAAAGAAGGGCTTCTAGATGTCTCTGAACAGTAAACTATCTCATGTCGGCTTGTGCTCGGTCATAAGCTGGCAACAACAATGCGCCCCAGCTGCCCCTCCTTAAGAGAGATAGCAGCGATACCCAAGGCCGTAGACCTATGCCATGGGAAAGAGACAGAAAATGAGGAACTGTGTCAAAGGTTGAATACCTTAGCAAATTATTCCCTAACACTACGGATTAAATGATTAGGGGATTAGTTAATTGACAGATAATCAGCTCACATTCCCTCAATTCTGTGGATTTGCTTTCTTTCTTTCTTTCTTTCTTTCTTTGTCTTTTGGTGATACAAAATGTAATATATTTGAGTATATAGTTGGTCGGACTAAACAAGCAATTAGTAGATATCCTCTTAAAGAACCTTGATTCACCGAATAATTCATAGACTAATTGAGAAAGTAATACAAATCTATAGTTGCATGAATATGATTAATGTGGGAAATAAACACGAGAGTCCTCTGAGGCAAGCTTGTGTCATATTAATATAAATAGTTCTATATAGCCATGCCTTATGGAGAGGTCTGGTAATACAGTATGTATCATGTTTATGTGGATCAATTTTAAAATGAAATGCTGAACCTTCTAACTCCAAAGAGCAAACGTTATATTCCCACTTCCCTCTGGTCAGTTTGAATCCAGCTAACTGTGAATCAGGGAAATAGCCTCAGGTATGGAAAGTGGCTTTATTGCATAATATTCCAGGTCAGGCTAATATTATCATCATACATCATGTTCTATAGGAGTTGGAAACGGCTGTTACGAGGCCCCGAGGCCAAGCTGTCTTTATTTACTGATGGGAGTAGGTCTGAGGAAGCAGTCGACTAAAACCTATTTACTTTTCTATAGCGGCGTCATGAGGGATGGAGAGAGACGGCGAACAGAGAGAGAGACTAACACAAGGAGCTACACAGGCTAATCTAACAATTAGTATTCACACAGCTGCTTTCCTCTTTCTTCCTGCATTTACATATGATAAATTCCAGTAATGAAACAGTGGATGGAATTTACACAAAGCTGATTGAATTTCCTCATTAAACATAAGAAGGAAATCATTAAAAATGAGCCCTGTAAATCTTCCACACTGTATAATGGAATTGACTTAGTGGGGTTTTTGGCATTTTCCCCAGGGTGAGGACTGAAATTATGCATTTCAATCATAGGTACTTCAATGAGAAACACCCTTTTTTCAATACTACACTATAGGGCTTTTGTACCACATTTGACACAAGCCATTGCTTTCTTTCATTACAAGATACAAGGTGAAGTCTTGACAACAAATGTATCTTGTTGCATAAAAAGTGTTTACCTCAGTATACCAGAAAAGATGGTCCTTTCTCTGTGTGTGTGCAGTAGACCGGTGACCTGTCTATCCTCTTTTGACAGGTAAAGCTTTACAAACAGTTTGTTGTAAAGAGACATAAAGGAGGCTAAACATCAGAGGAGCCATTTAACTTCCTGAATCAAACAACACAGTCCTGACCCAAGACTGTGGCTTCCAACATTGTTTGTAACACCCTGCTTATATATGCGCAAAGTACTGTCATAATGTCACTTGATGTTGTTCCAGAAACAAAGTAGATACAGGAAAATCAACGTTTCAGCTATAGCACCTTGACACAAACAATGCAAACTCTGTGAACTGATGATGAAAGATACAGAAAGAGTTCAGAGACATGATGTTCAGAAATGACTGCTAAGATTAGACAGAAAACTCATTCTGTAATCTCTAAACAAACCAACACATCTGCACATAAAATATCACAATAAACAGCCAATCACATCCCTTGGAGGTCAACTGCTGCAATCAAAATACAAAATGTATGCTTAGGTTTGTTGATATGAGACTTTAAAAACTAATAGCAGGTGAAGGGGAGGTGAGGTTTTGTGTTGCTAATGTTTGTGCCACGTTGAAGGTTCAGAATAGTGTAGTTGTTGATGCATTAGAATAGTGCATACGTACATCAGATGAACTTTTGTCATTACTTAAAGGGGACCTATCATGCAAAGTGCACTTTTGTACGTCTTTTATACATGAATATGTGTCCCCGGTGTTCCAGGGAACTCACCAAGTGTCAGAAAACACAACCCTCTCTATTTTCCTCCATACCCAAATCTCTAAAAAAGGGGCTGCAACGGATCTGATAAAAACTGATCCAGATTTGAACACTGTCCTGACGTCAGGACGGTGGCGCTACGGCTATTGGGCCAACTCCACCAATCAGGAGGAGACAGCCACGGCCATTGCTGTAGTACATATGCCAGGCCTGTAGGTGGTGCTGTTCTCACAGAATCAGCCCTTGCTAAAACAGGGATAAAAAATGTCAAATTGAGCAAAATGAGGCATGGCTAAAATGCATGATCTGTTTGGTATTTTGAAAAAAAAAAAAGTATAAATATGCCTTATATAGGTATGGTCCTACACTATATTATTCAAATATAGCATGATAGGTCCACTTTAAATGTTCTCAACAGCTGCACAAATTCATCATTTTATATTAGGAATCAATTGAATGGCTGTGTATGAAGTGACATTGGTTACTTGTGGTTGGGAACACTTAACTCTACAGTTTCCCTCAAGTCTTAAAAGTATTTTAGTGTCTCTGAGCTCTTTGTTTTGGTTTAACGGCCAAACACTGCACTGTTTGGGTCCACTCCCACTGCTCACATTAACCTAATTCCAGCAGAAAAGCACTCTAAGCCACTAGCACAACACCAAACAACTAGCTGAATGGAGCATTTAGCAGCTATAGAGCCACTTAATTCCTTAAAGAGTGAAGCAAACAGATCTAGAAGGGGACCTTATACTCCCGTTACAATAGCAGAAACACACGTCTGATGGATGTGTCAATGAACAACTGTTTACTGAAATGTTAACAAGGTGATAATGTCACCAAGATAAACATATCCTATTCACACCAATTTGAAACATGGCCATCTTTCCTCTTATTTCCACTAGTAATTCGAGGCAGTTTACTGTAGATTATCTAGAAGGAACTATATTGGTACTCTGACACAGACCTGCATCTTGACATAAAAGGGGAACATTAAAGAAATAAAAATAAACACGTAGAAAAAATTCAAACCGTATCACAAGTTTATTTGGTGATTTCTCTTATCAGCAGTGGGCGCACAGACACCTCTTTGAATGCCATCGCATCTAGTCAAGAGCTGCTCTAAACTGACACACACACACACACACACACACACACACACACACACACACACCACACACACACACAACACACACACACACACACACACCCACACACCACACACACACACACACACACCACACACACACACACACACACACACACAATTCCCGCTCTTATTAATCCAATCAGTCAGAAAGAATTACATACTCATGTGTACAAACAACACTTGGATTGGAGTACACACACTACACCTGACTGTCTCATTAAAGAGTTATTCTAAATATGATATCACTTACAAGATGGTATCCTCTAATTGGCTACATCAGAAGTGTCAGGACTCCTTTTAAAATATATAAGAGGCTGTTTTACCTCAACACTTTCAAGTCACGGTTCCCTTTATACCTTGGCACAATTAGGGAGAAAACCAAATACACTGCAGATGAAATGTGATTTTAATGAGTTGTATTGACCCTCTGCCATTGGCTCATGTGCCGTGGTAACAGAGCTGCAGGATTCTCTTCTTTAAGCTCCGTGTTTACTTTGGCGGCAATTATCCGAGTCCAGCTTTTAAGCCAACTATCTCAGCCAAATAAACACAAAGAGACAGCGCTACGAGCCACATGTAGAGTCTGTGTGTGTGTGTGTTTTTGTAGCTGAGTGGGATAAGAAAAGGACTTTAAAATGATGCAGTTAGTATCCTAGTTTAATTTGCTTCTGCTACACACACACACACACACACACACACACACACACACATACAGACAGAATCCAACTGGAGGAGGATCAGTCCGAGTAGAAACACCAACAATCGGCAAGCAGCACAAACAGAATCAAAATATATGATAAAGTTGACATTTAGAGGCATTCATAGATGGATGACTCTTACTGACGGCCAATTTGGCTGCTAATCTAAAGGTCAAGGCTGCTGGTGGCAGGGACAAGAGATCAATCGTGTGTGTGTGTGTGTGTGTGTGTGTGTGTGTGTGTGTGTGTGTGTGTATTTGGTCTCACACTCACCAAATAGATTGCTGGAGTGGCCTGTCTTGGAGACGGGCCTGAGCTCATTGGAACCCCAGGCGTAGCGCCGGTAGCTGTCCCACGCGTGTTTCATCATCTGTAAGGGAGGAGGAGGAGGAGGAAGAGAGGAGAAATGAATAGAGGACAATCAACTCTGAGCTGTGACAAAGACAGTTAAGTCGTTTTTTTAAAGCAAAACGGTGGGTTGTTTGTCTCAAAGATACCGGATGTTCCGAGGCTTGAGAAGAGAATTGGATAATGACATTTTGTTCTACAGATATGCTTTATTTTTTAAACAAAAACTATAGGTAAACACAAGTGTCTTATATCATTAAAAAACACGGTTTCAAAACAACCCGGAAGGAAGATAGTTTTTTGTTCCTTATTGGTGGACATATACATAAAAACAGTAATACATTTTGTTTGTGTCATCAAATAATCATGGTAAATGAAATCAAGCATCAGCAATCCATGTACGAAAGATCTTGTGGCATTAATCACTTTAACACCTGAAATTATTCAGTTTAGTTTAATTTTAGAACAAGCAACCACTCATATTTGAAAAGCTGGACGTCATGAACTTGAGGCATTTTTAATAAAAAACCTGCTTGATTGACCTGATTCATTATAAAAGCAGTTACCACATTTCCAAGTGGCTGATGTATTAAGCAACTCCGGTCTGCTGCTAAGTCATGTGAACATTTCCTGTAGGGTTACTTTAAGTGAACATTTGATAACCTTAGATATAGAAAAGAATCTGAGACGAACTACATTTTATATTAGTATTCTTCACAATGTTTAGTAACCAGTAATTCATGACTTTAGAGACATTTAAATCAAACTCTTTGTGCCAACATCACTGTGGAGTTATCCATTTATTTACTGACGCAACTCCTTTCAATTCTTACAACACAGTCTGCGTGAGCACCCATGCCTGATACCGCTATCCCAGATCCAATTCTCACGACTTGATCTGTCTCTACTGAAAAACTCAATGACAAAAAATCCAATCCCAGAAGTGGCAGATTGGGCCTGAAGCTCTGACATTAAGGACCTATTTGTTTGCACAATTCAACATCACACTGAAATCAATAAGTAACCACGAGAACAACATGTCAACACATTATCTGGAATGTAACCTATTCTAAACGTCTGTCAGTCCGTTATGATCAATCTGGATGATTGATTGGCTCATTTCTGCTAAAAAGTCAAACCCAGATATCCCTCGATTCCCTGTGAAAGGGAACATTTTCCTGTGCCGAGTCCCATTATCTGCTGCTGATAGAACCCAATTCCCCCAGCGGTAATCATTGAAGTTCCATCTTATTTTAATCTGGCGCTGGCTGGGGGGGCTTTATAGCACCGTGAACACTCGTTTCCAATCTAACACCCAGACTCTCATTTCAGAAGTGGCTCCTCCTCCAGCTCCACATTTGTCTGTCCTGCTAATCCAGGTTTCAATGCGTCTCTTTCCAGACCCTGCAACAGGATTATACGCACTAACACCCTTTATCCTACACCTTCAGACGGAGTATCTGTGCACACACTGATAGTGGGCCACTGTCATTTTGGCACGACACTGTCACCTATAGAGTGGTGCAGGAGGATGTGTTTTTGTAGGCCAACCTGAGAAGTGAAAATCAACAAAATGGGATTGGATTTTTCCAATTGTTTTCAAAATTCTGTGGCAAACACACTTTAGTTATAGTTATACGTATGGTTCAGAAGGAAAATCTACACTTATTAACACAGCTTTTATGAATTTGAGGCGTAAATGCGATCGGCAAAAGTAAAAAGCTAACGTTAGGCTATAAAGGAAATACTTCACAGTCACTACCGGTAAACTAAAGGCGGTTAATGCACAGGGGGATGACATTTAGTCGTGTTATTTAGTCACTTACTGGAAACCACTGACTGTATGACACGTAGATGCTTCAGACATTCATAAGTAAGGAATAAAATGATGTATTTCATGTTATAGAAGAACATGTTCAGATCTCTTTAGCTTGTGTTAACCACAGGTGTTTCAGGTGTTAACCTATATGACGTCTAACCTATAGGACACTTAGTTACTAGTTGAATAAATAACATGATGTATTTTTATCTACTCAAATCTTTGCTACAAACTGATGAATTACAACTTCACAAAAAAACCTATTATGCAAAATCCACTTTTTCATGTCTCTTCTACCTCAACATGCGTCCCCTCTTCTTCATGTCTCTTCTACCTCAACATGTGTCCCCCCTCTTCTTCATGTCTCTTCTACATCAACATGTGTCCCCTCTTCTTCATGTCTCTTCTACATCAACATGTGTCCCCTCTTCTTCATGTCTCTTCTACATCAACATGTGTCCCCTCTTCTTCATGTCTCTTCTACATCAACATGTGTCCCCTCTTCCTCATGTCTCTTCTACATCAACATGTGTCCCCTCTTCTTCATGTCTCTTCTACATCAACATGTGTCCCCTCTTCTTCATGTCTCTTCTACATCAACATGTGTCCCCTCTTCTTCATGTCTCTTCTACATCAACATGTGTCCCCTCTTCTTACATGTCCCCTCTTCTTCATGTCTCTTCTACATCAACATGTGTCCCCTCTTCTTCATGTCTCTTCTACATCAACATGTGTCCCCTCTTCTTCATGTCTCTTCTACATCAGCATGTGTCCCCCTCTTCTTCATCAACATGTGTCCCCTCTTCTTCATGTCTCTTCTACATCAACATGTGTCCCCCTCTTCTTCATGTCTCTTCTACATCAACATGTGTCCCCTCTTCTCCATGTCTCTTCTACATCAACATGTGTCCCCTCTTCTTCATGTCTCTTCTACATCAACATGTGTCCCCTCTTCTTCATGTCTCTTCTACATCAACATGTGTCCCCTCTTCTCCATGTCTCTTCTACATCAACATGTGTCCCCTCTGTGTAAAAAGGCTCTGAAAGTTTCAGGAACAAAGATTCTCTCTCTTTTTGTCCTGATCCATTTATATAAAAACATGTCTGAAAATGAGCTGATCAGATTTTGGCCACTTTATGATGTCATAACGATTTGTTTGGCTTGTCTAACCATTAGCCAATCAGCAACCAAGGTAACCCCCCCTGCTGAGTCATTGTTAGTAAGCTCACTTTAACTGAGAATTACAACCCAAACGACCAGAGCAGATGGTAAACCAGTGTGTCAATGAGTCGCTCTCTCAGTGTGACCTGTCGCCCGTAAACTAGACAATAAAAGGATCAATTTAGTCTTTCAGTCCATCAGGAAACCAGTTCAGTTGTTTCTTCAGTACTGCTACCTGTCTCGTACAACGGATAAGAGCTAAAGTGAGTTGCAATAAAATATGAATGAGTTTTTAATACCCACACGGTGAAAGGCTGCACTCGATTACAACCGCCATTAAAAAGAGACCCTCACAAGATCAAGTGGAGGCTGAGCACAGTGACACCTCGATCCACAGGTTGCTGGGTTTTTGTTTTTGATTAACTGAGATATAATTCAGTCTATAAAAGAAATGGGGAAATAAAATGGTCTTTATTAAGCCAAGGTCACATCTTAAAGTTGCTTGTGTTTTGCAACAGGTAATCCAAACACCTTAAAACGAAATGAGTCTGCCAATATACTGCAATTTACCTAGCCCAAATTGTGAGACAACATTTAGACATTTGTTGCAATATTAGGGTCTAAAACCTGGAAAGGATTTGCAAACATTGCCATCAAAATAACAGTTTAGCGATCACAGTATATCGGTGAGTAAGGCGTGCTGTTCTCTAACGCAGTGTGTTCATGTGGGGCCCAAACCATAAACATTCCCAGTGTGTTCATTGTTATAGGATTCATTGCTCAGGATCTCCATGTGTCGGCTGTAATTGGATTATCTGCTCAGGACTCTCCTGGCTGACCGCTGGTATTAGGATCTGCTGGCTGAAGCTATTTCAGACACACAGTCTCCGTATGCTAATAGGCTGCGTGTTTAAGGTGCACTGGCTTTCTGGGGCACAAACATCAAGTGTAATCTAGCAGGAAGATCTTAAGTACCAACACACCTCCTCTCATCTCCAGAGCGTGGAAACACACCGGCGCTGGATGAGATTATTTTGAACAGGAAGGCTGCGTGAGGTGTGTTGATAATCTATTCGCTCCTCAATGCATTCCTATTCTCTGTTTGTCCCTGCTCCACCTCTCCTCTCAGCCCATTTTACACACACACACACACACACACACACACACACACACACACACACACACACACACACACACACACACACACACACACACACACACACACACACACACACACACACACACACACACACACACACACACACACACACACACACACACACACACACACACACACACACACCACACACACACACACACACACACACACACACACACACACACACACACACACACACACACACACACACACACACACACACACACACACACACACACACACACACACACACACACACACACACACACACACACACACACACACATACACACACACACACACACACACACACACACACACACACACACACACACACACACACACACACACACACACACACACACACACACACACACACACACACCTGTTTCCTGTCAGCAGGACAGCACACTGTGTTACATCATGCTAACACTTAGCAGCAGAGAATGAATTGACTCTCTGGCACACACATAACTACATCAATGTGAGGATTACTAGGATACTAGGGATACATATACCATTACTCATTCTCAGACAATAACAATGTTAAGATTAACAATGTCCTGCAAGCTATAGATGCAGTCGTTTTTACCTTATGTTATGTATTCCCTTTTGTGCAAGGCTAGGGGAACAAAAAAGTATCTTCAATATTACATTACATGTTACTTGTTAGACGCTTTTATCCAAAGCGACTTACATACTCAATACTGTGGACAATCCCCACAGGAGCAATTTGGGGTGAAGTGTCTCAGGGACACAACGACATGCTGACTGCAGTGGGGTTTGAACCCCTGATCCGAACACCAACGCACTAGTCCACTGCGCCACAAGCCTCCACTATATATAACAGAACTTTAAGATCATTATGAGGCCATATCTTAG